TCTGCTGTTGCAAACTCATATTTTCTTATTATATTGTTCAGCTTTTCATATAAGCACACTTGTTTGTAGAGGAAGTAGTTTGACCGTTTTATGTCGTTTATTATTCCTGGTCATTTCTCTCATAGGCAACAGAATAGGAAGTTCTAAAACAACCGCAAAAACAAGCGCACTTCCACATTGCAGAACAAGGTCAATACCAGGTACATCAGCAGTCCGTCAGTCCAAAAGGCAGCAAATAACACGCACATAAAAACGAAATTACCTCAGTCTCATCTTATTTGAATGAAATTGATTTAAAATATAAAATTGATTAAAACAAGTGTTTAAATCTAATTATTCAATCCCTTTAGGTGAGAAGAGAAAGTAAAGCCAGTATCCAAAAGCAAAATTGGATCAGTTGGCGTTTCTGTGTGGAGTTTGCATGTTCTCCCTGCCTTCGTGTGGGTTTCCCCCACGGTCCAAAGACATGCGGTACAGGTGAATTGGGTAGGCTAAATTGTCCGTAGTGTATGAGTGTGTGTGTGAATGTGTGTGGAAGTTTCCCAGAGATGGGTTGGGACTGGAAGGGCATTCGCTGCATAAAAACTTGCTGGATAAGTTGGCGGTTCATTCCGCTGTGGCGACCCCGGATTAATAAAGGGACTAAGCCGACAAGAAAATGAATTAATGAATGAATGAATGAGTATTAATATTTATTGATATCTGCTTTGGCGTGGGTTTCCTCCGGATGTTCTGGTTTCCCCCACAGTCCAAAGACATGTGCTATTAGTGAATTGAAAAAGCTAAATTGGCCATTGTGTGTGTGTGTGAATGCGTGTGTATGGGTGTTTCCCCAGTACTAGGTTGCTGCTGGAATGGCATCCACTGTGTAAAACATATGCTGGATAAGTTGGCGGTTCATTCCGCTGTGGTGACCTCTGATGAATAAAGGGACTAAGCTGAAGGAAAATGAACGTTGAATGAAAATTGTACGTAGTGTATGTGTGTGAATGTGAGAGTGTATTGGTATTTCTCAGTACTGGGTTGCAACTGGAAGAACATCTGCTGTTTAAAACGTATGCTGGATAAGTTGGTGGTTCATTTCACTGTGGCGACCTCCGTTGAATAAAAGAAAATTAATAAATTTATTGATATACCGTTATTTTTGACAATACTAAGTCGGCTACATGAACAAAAAAATCGTTGACTGCCTTTTTTCTGGTATTACATTTATTTTTAACCTAGTTATAGCCTAGTTTAGTGTATTATAATATATATAATGTAGGGGCGTTACAGTGGTGCTGTGGGTATTATGATTGCCTCACAACAAAAAGGTCGTTGGTTCAAGCCTCGGCTGGGTCAGTTGGCGTTTCTGTATTGAGTTTACATGCTCTCCCCATGTTCATGTGAGTTTCCTCCGGATGCTTCGGTTTCGGATAGGTGATTAGGTAAGCCAAATTGTCTATATCAGTGGTTCTCAAACTGTGGTACGCGTACCACTAGTGGTACGCGGGCTTCCTCCAAGTGGTACGCGGAGGAACCGCTGAATAATGAAAGAAACAATTAACACTTTTAATCCTTTAATGCGTAATATAACATCGATGTGATCAGCACTGGCTGTTTTGTGAAGCGTACGATCACAGCGCTGTGCTTAGAATGTTTATTTTAGTGCATTGTGTCATAAGCTGCTGAAAATCAGTTTCCGAAGTTTAAGAATGGATTCTGAAGCGTGATTTGACTGACATGAAAAGTAGCCAATCACAGTCGACCTTGTCTAGTTGCGTGAAACGTAAGGGCGGGACAAATGCTTTCTGTGCTGCAGAGACAGAAAAAACAACTTAAAAACAAATGTTTTGTTGGAATAATGCTTCTCGGATGTTTTCACTATAGAGATGTCTAGCAGACTAATTAAACCGCGGACATATTTCCTGCCTTTTTGACGATCTACTACATACACGTTTCGCTCTCCGACAGCCAGTCGACTCGCCTCTGACCTGTCACTCCTCTAAATACATTCTGAATGGCGGCGCGGGATTGCAGGTATTGCGCAATTACTCATTTCTGGAAATGTGGCGAGTGCTTTATTTTAACACGAAAGCGCATTCATACGCAAATCGCTAAAACAGATATGCGAGCTCTTAAATATGCTTTTTTAAAATGAACTGCAAGACCTCTCATGATCGCCTGTGTGCTCAGATTGAATACAATCGCGATCTCTCCACTATTAAAGTAGATATTATTTTTCTTTGGTCCTTTACTAAATTTAGTCAAAAGTATTCAAAGTTATCAAGTATTTAGAATTAGATTGATGCATGATCGATGACAATGCTAATGGTCTTCTTATTTGGCTGTGTTATGAAGTGAAACTAACTTAACTTTTTTTTTTAGTTTCTTTACGACAAAATAATTATGCTGGAATGTTTCTGGATGAGGTATTTGTGTGATTTATACATTTAGCTGTATTCTGATCTGTCTTAAAGCATTACAGGTCAAAGCAATCCGTTGTTGCTTATTGTTTATTTATCAAAATTAACAATAAGGCTCTTAAAACACTGCTTTGATAAATGTAGTGTTGTCATATTTCAAATACCTCAAGTAAAATGAAGTCATTTGTTTTATTTTTTATTTTTTTACTGACAGTGTACTTGTATTTTTTTTTTTTAAGTTTCTATTTTAGATTAGGATCAAGTGTAAAATAAAATCTACATGTGATGTACAGATATTTAAGAAACAAATTTGCCATATTGTAAAGAAAAATAGCGTAACAAATGTAAATAAAAGGTTAAATTTAAATCTTTTTACCATATACTTTAACCTTTCAAAGCTTGAATATATCGTTTAAAAAAATGGGCAAAAACTGACTTGATGGTCTTAAAGATTATGTGGTAGTTTTACCAGTGCTATTGAAAAAGATTAATTGTCATGAAAGGAAAAATCGACCATACTTCCTTTGTTAGTACAAATTTCTGTACATGTAGCTTTGTGATTTAAGCAACTAAACCATTCAATTAGGTTTAAACTTAAAAAAAGTGATTTCATTATGAAAATCTGAATTTTTTTTTAAGTAACCAACTAGTACTTTTTAAAAGAGTACTTTGTACTTTTACCTAATATTAATTTTATTTACTAAAATTTGTGTTTTTTTAGCAGTGTAATAGTATCTTTACTTGAGTACAAAAAAGATTTCACAAGCATTTAGTGCAGGTTTATTATATTATTAATATATGATTAATAAATATTATTATTTATGGTTTTTATTTGTATCTATTCCTATGCAATATTTTATGGGTTGCTGAGAATACATTTCAGGTCTTCAATACATAGCATGTCAGTCTTGAAAAAAAAAAATAGGTGCTGGAAAAAGTGCTTAAAATTCCTTGATTTTCATTAGGCTGTGCCTGTATGAACCCTGTCATATGTACATTTAACATATATTTCAAGATTTGTCTGAAAGTGTAGGAGTATGACATATAGCCTATATTCATAAGGTCCAAGCATCATCCAGCTTTTGATGAATAGGCTACTATGAATACTTTAGATTTAAGTACAGCAGTTTTCTTTTTACTTTTTAAGAACAGGTCATTTTTAATGAACTTTTAAAAGCACATTTTAACTAAAACTTTTTTATATATATATCTGCAAGCACAGTTAATGTTCAGACTATTTAAAATGTTTAAAGTGATTGACAATAATACATATTCTTAATAATAGGAATTAATTTGCATCATTTTTAAACTGTGCACACCTGTAGCTGCTTAATTAGGCCTACGACGCTATCTTTTAATACTGGTTTAAAAAATAGCGTCGTAAGGTGGTACTTGGAGAGACAATTTTTTTCTAAGGTGGTACTTGGTAAAAAAAGTTTGAGAACCACTGGTCTATATAGTATGTCTGTGAGTATGAGTGTATGGGTGTTTTCCAGTGATGAGTTGCAGCTGAAAGTGAATCCGCCGTGTTAATCATATGCTGGATACGTTGGTGGTTCATTCCACTGTGGCAACCCCTGATTAATAAAGAAAATGAATGTATATTTAGTGTATCGTATCCACTTGCCATGATATTATTAAAATGCGGATGTATTCAATTAATATTTCATAAATATTATCGATCGTATAAGCCAGTTTCGACAGCGGAGAATGTATTTAATTTATAGACAATAAAATTTGAAGCTGATATGCTCTCAGTGATGTAATCGTATGGCTTTGAAAAGTCTCTGCTGCCCTAAAATACTTCGATAAAATATTGGAAAACACTCAAATCAATTGTCCGGCTCCATTGTTGGACATTCTGTAATATATAAACAAAATGACAGCCCATCACGAAGATATTAGACTTTGCTCCGACAGGTCAGATCCCAACAAACACATTTACGTTGTAGCGATGTCTGCACAACGTTGCATTTTTTCAAAGGCAACGTTGCCGCTTACGTGCTCGCTACATTGTCACAACGTAGAAATGTAAGACGTGAGAAGGCTGTAGCAACGTTGTCGTGCGACATTCAGCAACCGCGAGGCGGCGTTCTTACTACTTGTATTAATATTTTTTGTGGCAGTTTATCATTACTGCCTAGAATACAGGATAAGCAGCAATTCTTTTCCAGTATTGCTAAATATGAAATATTGTTCAATTATTTTTCCTATTTAATTTAACAACTGCATGTGTAAACTTTAAAGTGTAAAAATAACACACAAATGAATATAATCAAACTTTTTATTATATATTTCACAACATTTAATAAATACAGTACAAACCTAATTATAAACAAACAGTATAAAGTTTAT